TGTTCTCATTTTCCCATGATGCTTGTCTGCATTTGTCATAATCTGTATTAAAGGAATTATTAATTTTCTTGAAATTCAAAGTGTGTCTTTACTCATGCTCGTGTTTCAAACGTGTTTAAAGGGAGAGTTCACCCAAAAATATAATTTGCTGTTAGTTTGCTCACCCTCAGGCTATTCTAAATGTACACCAAAGACTAGTTCCTCAATTTTGAGGTCACTGTTTAGTCCTTTAGAGTTGTCTGTCTCTATGTATTTATGTGTATATTGCTATATATAAATATATCTAAGAGAAGAAGTTAAATAAATTTCAACTTTTTAAATTTTTTTTTGCGTGTGTGCTTTAAAGTATTTTTGTAGCTTCATAAACTATGCGTGCATCACAATCAGCTCCCTGAATTAGATATTTAAAAATAAGAACAGTGAGCAAAACTAAAGAACACATTCAGATTCTTCCCAGTTGTTAGTGTTTAGCTGGCATTTGTGGTAAATTCCTCAATTATCTGACAATCCACATTTTACTAGCTGACAGACTTTCTAGTTTTCACTAACTTTTTAGAATGGCTCAACATTTTACAGTGTAGTGTTGTCACAATACTGGAATTTCGGTACTGGAATTTTAAAAACATCCATTTCTCGCTAACATTTAACGCTCTGATGTCCGTGTATCCATGCAGCAGTGAACTGATGACCTTCACGTCCGATCACAGTGATCACAGACTAAATATCAACATCTAATGATGTTACAGCAGACCTTACTACTATGACATCTATGTATTTTAGTCATCTATCTATGCATAAAATATGTTGGATTTTGGTTGCCATACCTGACAAATAAATATGATGTTGGTTTAAGTGGCTCAATGTTGGATTTTGGTCACTCTCCAACACAACCTAATTTCAACGTCAATTGACCTCGTTATTGGACGTCAAATTAATGTTGTCCTTAGACGCTAGCTAGACATTGAATTTTGGTCACCTGACATCACGACCTAAATCTAACCTAATATTAATAACGTCTTAAGATGTTGTGTGCCTGCTGGGATATCAGGCTAAATAAATCAAATAAATCATTGAATCAGTCACTTTGCTTTCTTCATTTGTTTTTAACAGATTCCTGTACAACTTAAAATGTAATCTTTAAAGACCTTGTCTACTGGAGATACTGTTGTCCTAAAAACACACAAAAACAAATTTAATAAAAAATCGTACACATACCTTAGGAACGGTATAGCATAAAATTTTGGCGTTTTTTTTAAATCTTGAAATTTCTAAAAGAGGTATACTTTGAAAACGATTATAGTCCCATGTCTAATGTGGGCATAAAATCAGATCTGGGCCACATTTGGCTGCAGTGTGAATGTAGCCTAAATGCCGACCGTACTGTAAGAAAACTTACCGCTTATTGTAAAAGGGAAAAAAGTAAATAGTTACTTCAAATATGTGGTAAAAGAGCAGCATGATCTTGTTAGGTGTTGCTCAAGTGAAAAAAAAAAGTCATTTGGGTGTGGAATGACATGAGGGTGAGTAAAATAGCAACTGGGTGATAATTGGACTGAATCACTTGCCATCGCCACTAGAGGGCGTCATCACACTATATAGCACAGTTCCTTTTCAAATGTGACGGGTAGAATAAGACGATCCTGCTGTTTGTCATAGTCTTTTACTCTCTGTCAGTCAGAGATCGTTTTCTCTCAGTTAAGCCATTCTCCGACCGCTTAAACACTCTGTTTGTTACACAGGTGATTTCTGAGGAAGGGGTCAGCTTTAAGGTCAGTCTTTATCTTTTCCTTTCTCTCTCTCTCCTCCTCTGTGGTGATACTGTGTCTTTGTGCCTTGTGTCTGATTGGCTGATCAGTTTGATTGGCGGCTTCAATGGCCTGTACCACAGCTTGGTTTGGGATATAAGCGGGACTATGATGAAATGTGATTGTGCTCAGTAGAGTGTTTATAGACTGCTGTTTTGTGTCTGGTGCTTTCACTGTTTCCCTCGTTCCAGGCCTCCTAGTCGGCATTTAAAGGGATAGTTCAACCAAGAATTAAAGTTTACTCACCCTCAAGTGGTTAAATTTTTATGAGTTCCTTTCTTCTGTTAAACGCCTTAAAGATATTTGGAAGAAAGCTGGAAACCTGTAACCATTGACTTCCATAGTAAGAATACTATGCTTGCAGGTTTCCAGCTTTCTGCAATAATCTTCTTTTGTTTTCAACAGAAGAAAGAAATTCAACTAGATTTTAAACATGTGTGCGTAAGTGATGACCGAATTTTTATTTTTGAGTGAACTATCCTTTTAATACCCAGCAGTGCACAGTCCATGCTAGACACCTATGGCTTGTATGCTAAAGCTTTTGGCTCGGGTTGTTTTAAAGAAAAGAGAAATGCAAATGTTAAGGTGTTTTGTGGAGATCTGGCAAATCATCTGCTGTCACTGAACTTTCCTCCACTGGCCTGTGGAAATCTTGTAAGTTCAGAGATTGTCTTTCTTTTTCAGTCACCATTGTTTTGGCTATAATGAAGACAAATCACACCCACCTTCTCTTTAGATCAGGGGTCTCAAACTCAAATTGTCGTCATTTTGTCACTGACTATTCATAGGACAAGTTCAATTCAACTAGCAGTACAATTTTACTAATGTGCGTATAGTTTTTATATAATTCTTAATAAGCAAACGAGGGAACTCTATTAAATGAGACAATTTGAATCAAATATTAGCACAATTATCATATTTACACCACCAGCATAACATGTGAGCCATGAAGAAGCGTTTGTACTACAAAAACAAGTAGAACAAAACTTATAATAATCAAAACCTTGAATATTCACAAAAATAGAGCTTTAGTAAAAATAGAGCACTTACGGACATATGTTCCTGCTGAAAAATCTAGCTTAAATCAGCCTAAACTGGTTGGCTTGTTTCAGCTGGTCGACCATTTTTTTTAATAGGGGTTTGGCCATTTCCAGGCTGGTCTTAGCTTGTCAGGCTGGGAGATGACCAGCTAAAACCGGCTATGTCCAGCTTAATCCAGGATGATCAAGTTGACTTTAGCTGGTCATTTTCCAGCCTGACCAGCTAAGACCAGGCTGGAAAGGGCTGGAAACCAGCCTGGAAATGGCTAAAACTCCTCTAAAACAAGGCTGGTCGACCAGCTGAAACCAGCCAACCAGTTGAGGCTGGTTTAAGCAGTTTTTTTCAGCAGGGTTTTTAACGTTTAGGGCGGCTCTCGGTCCCGCCCAGACTCATCAGCGCTACCAAGCCGACCAATCACAGAGCTTGCGCTACGTGTTGTTGCGACGTGTAGTTAGATTTTTTGAGAGGTGCACGTCATTGACGCCGACAGCCACGCCGAAGGGCTATGCGTCAACGCCGTAGCATACGCCGACGTTTGACGCAGAAGTATAAATCAGCCTTAAGACGGAGCAGCAGCGTTTCAGAATGAAAATGGCCTCTCCAGCATTTTTTAAAACGCTCCGTTTTTGGCCCTCGAGAACTCCGGCGTAGTGTGGAGGGATGGCGTAACCGTAGCAAAACTTATGCGTTTTAAAACGAAAATGCATTAGTGTAAACAGGGCCTTAATCTTTTGGGTGAAGTATCCCTATCCCAGAGACACCAGTCTTTTAATATATTGACTGTTTACATAAGTTGTTTTGTGGTCATGTCAACATACATGTGCATAAACAGCACATCTTTATTAAAGCATGTCATCTTTGCTTGTTTTTTTAAATCATCGGGAGATGCTGTATCTAGGCCTGTCACAATAATCAATATATATATATATATATATATATATATATATATATATATATATATATATATATATCGACTCATTGTGCAAAATTTGGAGATGACCTCAATAATTTTTGCCATTGCATTATATTCTTACAAATTTACAAATAACGTTAAAGCCAATTTACAATGACATTTACATTCTACCTTACTGGTGTCAAAGTTTATAATTGGGAATTTACCTAATAGGACATTAATAGTACATATCAGGGCTATTCAATTAGTTTGATATGGGGGCCTGTTCATGAAAAGCATCCCAAATGAGGGGCCGGAGAGATATGGTTGCAATATAAGTGATGACAGCATATAAGAGCTCATATGCTGTTTTTGTGCTCCTTAAGACACCCATGTTGACTTTTTCTACATTAAAATGTTAATATGTTGTATTTTGAAACTACATAACATTACATATGCGCACGTCTCCATTGGAAATAATGTACTTGCTTGTGGAAAAGACGCAATATGTCAACGGCTTGCTGCTATAGTTAATCCAATGTGCGTGCATATTGGCATAACTTTTTTTAGTTACAGCAGCTTTTTTCCGTGCAACAAGAATTGTGTGAAATAACAGCGAAATCGGCTAATCATTGCATCTCTATAAACTAAATCAGTGCATTGTACAAAAGGCCTTTTCTACAAACACATCAAAATGTTTCCAGCTGCTCGCGCCACATGCTTAATGTCAGGTGACTCTCTGGACAGCCTTCAAATGCAGCTCCTGCTATATTGAACAGGGTTCCTGCGGGTCCTTAAAGGTTCAGGACACACTGGAGAACTTTTATATATTAACAGATTTGTGTGTCTTGAGCATCAGTTAAGACAATGTTAGCACCTGTCAGCTGTAATTGTGGGGAAAACTGGATAATTTTGAGCTTTTGTCAGCTAATTTCAGCTTCCGGGTTTAAAATGATTTTTGGTGCGGGATCAAAATCGGCGACGTAGCGCAGTACTGCAAGTGCAATGATGACGTGTCGGTTTCTCATTATTATTCATAGCGGAGTTTTCTTATCCTGTGAGAAGAGCCGGCTGCTTAATTATTCATGATACCTGCCAGACCTGCCAGAGTCAAGCCCGAGCTGTGAGACACGGACCCAAGCCCACAGATTTTAGCCGTTCATGAAGGCTCATATGCGTTTGTTTCCATGATCCGCGGGGTTTGTTGCATGTTTTCCCCCGCGATCTTGTCAGGGCCGATCATACAGCAAAGCTGTGTGTGTGCTGCTAGCATTTTTGTCGGGAGAGCAGCACGAGAATTAGAGAATGGCGGACGCTGTCTTTTATCAGGAGTTCGTTCACATTCAGACACATCACTGTGCTGCTGTGTTTGTCTAAATCCTCCAGATTACCAGCAGGGGCTAATGGCTAAAATAGACAGGTCAGGAGACCTGCTGCATTGAGTCTGCTGGATACGGGGATTGAGGGAGAAGTCCTCATTTATAGTGTTTACATGAACACACTTATCTTTATAATGATATAAATTGTAGTTATGTGTATATGAAATTACGAATAACAAATGTAGCAGGGTACTAAATAACTGTTAATTTCTTTGCATTTAACTTTGTAAACTATAAACTCATGCGTTTCCTCACGGTTTCAATTTGTGAGCTAACTGACATCAACAGTTGTTCGCTCCCCTTCTCCCCTGCTGGCCACGCCCACTCCTGCCCGATGCTCGTGGAGCTCCACGCCCATTAATCATGCATCTTTTGAAAAAAATCTGAAGTAGACTTTAACCGAAAGTGGGGGGTGTCATGGCCCTTTAAAAAGTTTTAAAATGTCTTAAATTGAAATCCGGAAATTAAGGTCTTAAATTGTCTTAAATTTTACTTTAAAGTGACTGCAGGTATTAAATTTTCAGCCGGTCTGCTTAATGACGATAATGAAGCACAGTGGTCCACCGTAAAACATCTAATAGTTGATTAATTCAGTATGTGAAACAGGAGAGAAATGACAGTCTCCATGATTTAATGGCTACTTACGGTAGGTCGGCTACAGAGTACAGACGCTGACGCCGGTCTGCACCTGTGTGCTGTCATTACGCCGATGTTGATGTGAGGTTCAAAATGCAAAGATGGGAAAATGTAAATTTAACGACGTAGCAAAGAGGCAATGTGTAAATTCTGCAAAAAGACCTTTTCGTTAGGGACCATGGGGCTCAAAGTCATCGAATATCACATAAAAAGAGGAAAGCAGCAGCTGGACATTGCAGCAGCTAGTCATAGCGGGTCCAGGTTAGTCCCTGCATTGTTTGCAGCTCGACCTAACAATGTTACTAGTTCAGACTAGAGCTGAAGATCTTTTTTGGGTTTGAACTTTATTTCTATCATTTTAGACGGGGTCGTGCCGGGCTTGGGCTTGCGCAGTAAATGAACAGTCATGTGATGCATTTCGATTAGCGCAAGGAAGTAATCAAATTGTTTGTTACAACATTGAAATCCATCCCTGCAAAGGTGAATCAAATGATGACAGATGTCAAAAAGAGCGAATTATGTCAGCGGTCAGGCCAGCCAACAGGTTTATTCGAACAGTCATTCTAGCCACTAAGGTATTTTGGCGGTCGCTCATACACTGCGTATTACGGTAGAGCACTAAGGAGCAGTGTTCAGCGAGCTGACAGGACATGACGAGGACACTCGCTGCATTGAAACTGCTGTCATGGAAAATGAAATGAATGTTCTTGACTGGTGGAAGATGAACAAACAATCCTACCCAAAACATGCTAAATTAGCCGGATCAGTAGTGTATCCCGGCCAGTAGCAGCAGCAGAGAAAAGGTGTTCAATGCTGCTCAGTGAGCGCAGGACTGCGCTAAAGCAATTTACAGTGGATTCAATAATGTTCCCTCACAAAACACATAACCTAATCTTGATTAGTAAAGAATTTCAAATTATAAATAAATATTAATAAAATCATAATGTATGCAGATACAGGCTAATGCTGGCATTATTCTTTTATTATTCGGCTTCACCATCGCCTTATTGTGAAGAGAAGTGGCAAAACAAATCCAACAGAGCCTTTATCTTAATTTCGTTATTGCCAAATATCCGTCATCATTTATCATTTATTTTAATTCATTTGCTAAGAAAGACTTATTTTTATTGGTGTGTTGGCCAATTTAAAAGTTAAGTGTATGTACCTAGGCCTATTTAGAGTTTTGAGATGTTAAGATGTTACAGAGGGCTTATTTTATTTATTTTTTTGTTCCAACTTGGCCTCTAGCCTATGTTATGGATAAGTAATGTTAACGCATATAAACAACTCATTCATGAAAAAAGACAAAAGAGCTGTACATGTGCACATTTGGATAATGTCGGGCTATAAACGGGCTCGGGCTTTTAAAAAGCTGTCAATCAAAATGTACCTGTCGGGTTCGGGCTCTATCGGGCCTACCTTTCATAGCCTGATTACAGCTCTAGTTCAGACGCCCCCTCACAGTCAGCTATAACAGTTTCATTTCACCACCAGACACCTAAAAGGCAGGTACTGCGGGTTATCCATACTGTGACAAGGCACAATTTATTTTAATCTAACGAAAACATTAAAGTGAGTAGCCTATTCCAAAGAAATTATATAATTTTTGGGTCTTAAATTATATTTGTTGAGGTCTTAAAAAGGTCTTAAAAAGCATTAAATTTTACTTTTAAAATGGTGCAAGAACCCTGTTGATCAGACGCACGTCACTTCATAACTATAGTAACCGTTTTTGACTGAACTAAATTTATTTTGATGTCTTGGTCACACTATTTGGAGGGCCGGAACAAATTGCCATTTGGAGGGCCGCCAATTGAATAGAATGGAATGATAAATATTTTAAAGTGTTTATGGCTATTTGCATTATTATGCTGCTATGTAATAATTATATAATCAGTGACATAATATTATACTAAAATTCCTTATTGCGAAAGATCTAGCTGTATTCTCAGAACATCTGTAACAGCGCACCCTACTGTCTAAAGTACTTTTCCATGGTGGTGAAAACTTGGAAAGCCTGACGAAATTGTCTGTGATGGGGAAGCGTTTTGTTATAAATGAAATGAAATCTTGTCTGTGGAGTAAATATTATAGAGTTCATTGCAAATAATCAGAATAATTAACCTTGATGTTACTTTTGAAATAAGCAGTCATATTAATTAGTATCTTCCATTCACTTGGATTTAGAGTTCAAACTAATTGAATATTTTAAAAAGAGCCACTGAAATATAAAGCATGACCACTGGTTTGTGGTGGTTTAAGCTTCTCAATCCACCAGTCCTGCTTCAAAACATAGTTTACCAGCATATATTCAACAGGGCTGAACATCACTTGAAACTTATTTTTATCTTCAAAGCAAACGAGCAAATTAAAACTAGATTGTGAGTACATTATGGCCTTTAATGTGCAGGTTTCATTTGAACTTGTTTACTTTTAAAAATACATCTAAAGGCCGGGACATACACAAGCCAACAGTCGGCCATTGGGCAGCATTGGGCCATCAGTTATGTCTTTTTTAGTTTGTTTGGTGTGTTCCACATGTCCATTCTAATTGGTAAACATTGGTCATGAAATGAAATTGGTCCAATTCAGCATATAGAATTGGTGCCGACTTTCAGCTAAAGAGACCACTCTGATCAGAAAGCCAGAACAAAAACTGAAGTGACTAAAACCAAGCAAACCAAAAACTGAAGTGACTAAAGCAAGCAAATCATTCAAGTCAAGAGAAAACACAGAGAAGCTGGCTGTAAATGTGGTGCATTTCTTAAATATTTTCAAACAAAATGAATTGATTGATTATCAGACATATTTGCACAACTATATCCCTCTGTGGTGAGTGACAAGTTTTCTGAAAATGGTTCTTAATGTTCTGGTTTGTGGAATGAGAAAACTGACTACTACCCCCTGCGGGTACAGAAAGACACATTCTCTTATACAGGTGCCGAATGCTTACTCTTCTTTCAGTCTGCTGCAGTCCATTCTGTGTGTTCATGTGCAATTTTTTGGTCCACACAGGCCTAAGCAAGGCGTCAAGACAACACCATTGGTTATCGTCGACGCTAGTTATTTGCTTGGTGTAATCTGAGCTTTAAAAATCCCTGCAATCAGTTCAGAAAGTCTAATTATATTATTTTGTTTATTTATGAATTTTTTAATAGAAAATGTTATAATCAGCGATTTTTGTCTAAAGCTTGGCTTTGAGACTCAACAAATCACCAATAGTAAGCCGATAGCCTATTCTGTACCTAATATACTACATGTTTGCACTATTGACAACAGTACAAATTAATTTGTAATGTTTGGTTTTTATACATCCTGAGTAGACGGCATTAAACTCTTTTAGGACTACTAGTGTAGTTGCAATGGTAGTCATAGTAGATGCTGTATTTAATTTTCTTCAAATGCTATTGAGGCTGCAAGGGATAGACAATGCACTGTTCAGTTGGTTGCATTGATTTACCTTCCTATACATAACGCAGCTGAAAACATTTCATTATTTAAAAAATCTCCTAATAACCAGTGTTGTGATTATAGCTGTGACGTTAAGTTATGACAGCACAGCACAATGAATGTACTCATGTTTGTTCCTCATGGTCTTGTTTGTAAAATTTTTAATATGCCATCGACTCTGAATAAGGTCTGGTTAGGTACTGTCCAGTTCTTGTACAGTGTTGTTCATCATCTTGGTTCTCTCTATATAAATGTCTCAGATGAATCACAAGATTGACTGTACTTATATCTTTGTGTGTGTGTTTAGATTGTAGGGAACGGTAGTGAGCAGCAGTTACAGCAGGAGCTGGAAGATGTGCTGATGGACCCTTCAGTCACTGAACTGGTGGTTGGACCGGATCATTTGGGACAGGGTGACCATGGCTATCCCACTACAGCTGTGCCATCACGCTCCGGCTCTGTGCCTCCTAAACTCGAGATAGTGCTGCCCATTCAGGGAGCTCAGGAGAGTGAACTCAATGAGAGATCTTACAGGGGTAAACAAAAAAGAAAAATCACATTTACTGCACAATGAAGATTGACACTGCTTTTTCACTACTGTGTTTTATTTTAAAAAGACATTTGAGAATAATTAGATTTTTAACATGAGCAAGTTTTGCCGGCATACATACTTGTTGTCTACGGAGTGTGTAATGGTCATACACGTGTGGCTTGATGGATCATAAAGCAATACACAGTAGTCCAAAAGACAAGGTAAAGACTTGAGGATAGTCGTACCTGTTTTCAAGAGTTTGTGTTTCAGTCAATCTAAACTGCATATTTTCACACTGTAGTTATACACACACACACAAACACACACACACACACACATATATATTTCAGATTTTTTTCAGTTAAATAAAATATTAAATATAATTGAATCATTAATATGAATAAATATTTCATTTATTTTAACATTGATGTTTTTTAAAAAATAGTGTAAAAAATCTTCTCATTCTCGTGAACCCAATCTTGTGTCTCCTCTCGTGGATTAAGCATCTATTTACACCCCTAATATATATATATATATATATATATATATATATATATATATATATATATATACACACACACACACACACACACACACACACACACACACACACACACACACACACACACACACACACACACACAGTTGAAGTCAGAATTATTAGCCCTCTTGTTTATTTTTTCCCTTAATTTCTGTTAAACGGAATTTAACGACATTTCTAAACATAATAGTTTTAATTACTCATTTCTAATAACTGATTTATTTTATCTTTGCCATGATGACAGTAAACAATATTTGACTAGATATTTTTCAAGACACTTTTATACAGCTTAAAGCGACATTTAATGGCTTAACCAGGTTAATTAGGTTAACTAGGCAAGGTAGGGTAATTAGTCAAGTTATCGCATAGCGATGGTTTGTTCTGTAGACTATTAAAAACAAATAAAGCTAAAAGGGGCTTATAATTTTGACCTTAAAATAGTTTAAAACTTTAAAACTGCTTTTATTCTAGTTGAAATAAAACAAAAAAGATTTTCTCAAAAAGAAAACATATTGTTAGACATACTGTGAACATTTCCTTGCTCTGTTAAACATCATTTAGGAAATATTTTAAAAAGAAAAAAATGTTTAGAAGGGGGCTAATAATTTTGACTTCAACTGTATATATAGTTTTGATGTATAATAATACATTTACTACATATTTTTAAATACATTTTTAGTCAGTTAAGAATACCTAGTTACTATTTTTATTTATGTTGAAATAAAGAAAAACCTTCTAATCAAACAAATGAAACCCATATGCAGACAATGTCATCTGCTGGTTGTTTGCTGTCAAGGCACATTCCTATTTGTTTAATGCTAGTTACAAACTATAATATATTGGCACAATCAAAAGTTAAATGTAAGCATTTAACTGCATCATTCTGATAGCAAGAAACATAATTCAATCGAACGTGACCAAACAATGACAGGCGTATTTTAATAGTGGCCAAGGAAAAAGTGATGTCTGGAGGACACATTTTAACAATATTTGCTTTTAATGGCTCGGCTAGTTTAATTAAACCTTTCAAATGTGAAAGACATGTTATGTTAGTTAAAAAAAAAAAAAAAAAAAAAAAACATTAAGACAAAAAAAAGGTAACACAATAATTACACTTATTTGTTTGGCAAATAATGTAAACTACTCTTAGTCTTGCAAAGTGGGTTTTAATTTACTATAAAATAATAATAATAATAAAAATAAATAAACTAGTAAAGTATACGTTGACTACCAATATGTATTATTAATAATTTACTGTTCATTCATATTCCTTAGAGATGTATATCTTTTATTTTTTCTTGCATTATCCAATACATTGCACAAATGCAGGGCTCTGCATAAATCCTTTATGCTGTCACAACACATATCGATTAAGTTCATTTTAGTGTCTTTACAAATTTAAGTGGATTGAACACAAAACATTTAAAATGTCCCAAAAAAGCTTAAGAATTTTGTTGTTTTAACTCTATTTTTAAATAAGTTGTTTGAACAAGCATGAAAGGCCATTTTGAGTGTATAAGGTAGCTGAAATGCGGAACAAATACTAAAAAATTACACCTTATTCCTGGAAAAAATCAGCATTAACATAATATCATCATGTTTAAATGAACAGCAAACTTATCAGTTTTTCTAAACTGGACTTTTTTAGCCACTACTGTTTAAGCAATGGTTTCCCAGAGATGGGTTGCAGCTGGAAGGGCATACGCTGCGTAAAAACTTGCTTGATAAGTTGGCGGTTTATTCCGTTGTTGCAACCCCAGATTAATAAAGGGACTAAGCCGACAAGAAAATGAATGAATGAATGAATGAATGAATGTTTAAGCAATGGTTTAATTTAGTGTTTTCTAATGATGTGTCTCTCTCCTCCATCACTGCCTCTAGATGAGCCCTCTGACTTGAGTCCTGGTACCCCTGTCCCAGATGAGGACAGCGTGGTGTTCAGTAAACTGACGTATTTAGGTTGTGCGTCAGTGAACGCCCCACGCAGTGAGGTGGAGGCCCTGCGCATGGTCAGCATCCTCCGCAGCCAGTGCCAGATGCCCCTGGATGTCACGCTCTCTGTACCCGGAGTCTCAGAGGGCACCGTCAGGTAGGCCTGTCTCCATTATTATTATTATACTGCGTGTGTAATGTGTGTGTTATTAATGAGAGAGTTTACACCCCCCATATATCTGTAATTATTTAATCACCCTTCACTTGTTAAAAATCTCTTTGCGTTTATTTATTTATTTTTTTAAACACAAGGGAAGACTGAAAAATGCTAATTGTCCGCACGGGCGGTGCTAGCAATTGGGACGTAAGAAAGCATATAGAGTTAAATTTGGGTCCCCTGTTAGTTCTATTAATGTTGATGAAGTAGATCTCTGAGGGCCTCCAAACTGCATGGGCCTATCCTCCTAACATCCACTGCTTACTAGACCCATTAGCAAACCCATTGAATAACATAGTAATTTTGGTTGACATTGGACGTTGATGGGTCCCAGCAGCTAGCTTTCTTTAAAATACATTATCTTGTGTTCAACAGAAGAAAGAAACTCATAAAGGTTTAATACCACATGAGGGAGAGTAAATGGTAATTTAATTTACATCTTTGGGTGAACTATCCCTTTAAATAACCGTCAAATTGTGGTTTGACGTGACTGCTGTTGTTTCAAATTAATGCGATTGTTGCAATTCTTTTAGAAGACTCAAGGGGGAGACAGCAACTGAAAAACTCTTCACTATAAGAGCACTAAATTAGATGATATATCAGGATTGTATGACTCTAGTGTGAATTTAGTTTATGTTAGGTTTATATTTCTATTTCAATATATGTACAGTCTCATCTCAAATTGGCATAATATTTAACACCCCCCTCACCACCACCACCACCATTAAGGACATTTTTTTAAACACAACACTGTCTGGTTACTTACTTGCTCAAAAAACAATAATTTTTAACCTAAAATGGAGTTACGAATGACAGGATTGAGACAATGTTATTTATACTTTATTTATTTTTATATAAGGATGGTAACATTATTAAAAATAATATATGATGTTATTATTTTTAATAAAGTTACCGTCCTATAATACTAAATATAACAAAATCAAATCTACAGCCAACGCATACTGCAGAATTTTTTTGTAATGCACCTTGAGTTGATTTTAACGCACTACACCTCTATTTTAATGCACCACCTCAGCTTAGGCATGCATACATGTACATATAGTAAACCAAAAATAGAATGAGGATGAGGGAGGGAATGAAAAGGAGAGGGGAAGAGAAGAGAAAAAAGAGGAAAGGGGAGAGAGAAAAGGAGATTCTGAGTGACCGAAGGAAAGTTTTTTTTTTTCTTTTTTTCTATTTCTCTTTCAATATTGTGATTGTCATTAAATCTATATTATTATTGTTGATATCACCGTTGCCATCACATAAAATTATTTCTATTATAGCAAACCTCTCTATTATTATTATTATTGCTATGAATAGTTCTAATTAAATATTGTTATTGTCTATACTGTTTATGCTTACTCCTATTATTTCCATTCTTGTTCTACCGCTGTTGTTGTTCTGTGTTTACTGTATGTTGTATGTTTTGCACACTTTACAAAAAATTTAAAAATAAAATAAATAAAGGTGCATAGAAGATAACTACAAAATGTGTCATAATAAATATTTAGTTAACAAAGTGCACAAAAAAATGCCAAAGCCCCCAAGATAGGCGATTAATCATCAGAGCCTTTGGACAAACAATTAAACACATTTTCAGCAGTTACATGTTAGACAATTAATTGTCAGGCGAATTTCATAATTGTGATAGCACTTCCATATGGTACTTTAAGACACTGGACTGAACAGATTTAAGGTGACTGGAAATTAGTTTGTGAAAAGGTAATCCATTAAAGTATGTTGTTCTTGATGTGCCGTCAGACTGCTGGACCCTCAGAGCAGCACTGAGATTGCCAATTACCCCATTTACAAGATCCTCTTCTGTGTTCGTGGTCATGACGGGACGCCTGAGAGCGACTGCTTCGCATTCACTGAAAGCCATTACAACACCGAGATCTTCCGTATCCACGTCTTCCGCTGTGAGATCCAAGAGGCGGTGAGACAGTCACACTTGACACATAGACTTCTTAGAGGTCATCATGAAAAGTGGGTATTAAAAAAGTTAGCATGGAGTTATGTTTTAGAAATTGTTTTGGCTGATAAAAAATATAAATGTATAGCTATGGAAAAAAATAGGAGAACACTTAAGCTTTTGTTTAAGCGTGGGTTTGAGAAGGGTTAATATTTGGTTTGTTATGTGGTTCTGATAGTAAAAGGATTGTAATTTATAACATTATTTTTTAGAAAATGATAAGTGGTCAACCACAACAAATTAAAACATTTGTTATGGTGAGTTATTTCACCAAATTTAGATTTTTTTTAAACCCTTGTGAACTTGAGGCATTGGTATGTCATTGTCCGAAAATTAATTAAAATAACATTTTTAATTTAATCAGCAAACTGCTGATTAAAACTACTTTCAAATAAATAGAATGTCATTTTAGAGTCTTTCTGTTGCTTGAAATAACACATTAAGGTGGCATAATTTAACGGGAAGTATAATATTTATAAGCAATTAAGTTTGTACGCAACTTTAAATAGGTGTGTCTAGACAACGCCATTTAGAAATACAAGTACTAGGGGACTCTCACTTCATTTGGAGCATAGTGACTACAAGATATTCCACCAGATCACTTGAGATTTACTGTTTATATAATAAAAATCTAGCTCTAGAGGATTGTAGCATATTTTTATTAGAAATATATACAGTTGGTATATAAGTCAGAATTAGTAGCCCTCCTGAACTATTAGCCCCCTTTTTCCCACAATTTCAATTTAATAGAATCAAAACATTTCTAATTGTAATAGTTTTAATAACTCATTTCTAATAACTGATTTTTTTTATTTATCTTTGCCATGATGACAGTGAATAATATTTGACTTGATATGTTCTTCAAGATACTAGTATTCAATTTAAAGTGCAAAATTTAAAGGCTTAATTAGGTTTATTAGGAAAGGTATGGTAAATTGACTAATCATTGTGTAACAATGGTTTGTTCTGTAGACTATCAAAAAAAAAAAAAAAAAAGATTGCTTAAGGAGGTTAATAGTTTTGACCTTAAAATGTTTTTTTTTTCTTTTTAAACTGCTTTTATTCTAGCCAAAATAAAACAAACAAGACTTTGACAAGAAGAATATTTCCCTTTAGTGAAATATTTGAAAAGAAAAAAAACTCTAATCATTTTAACTTCAACTGTATGCATATATATTTACAGGGTTTCTGCAGGGTCTCAAAAAGTATTAAAAGTTAATAAATCAATGTACAGAAATTTAAGGTCCTTAAAAAGTATTAAAAAGTATTAAAATGTTATTTTGCAAGGTTTTAAATTTTATATCATTTTTGATTATGCAATGTATGGTTGTCTGCTAAAGTTTGCCGGAATTAAATCTGCGAATATCAGGATGCTGTGTATTTTATAAAATCAATGAAAAATCATCATCAACCAAGGGAACACCATTATTTCTGCAGTTCTATAGGCGCCAACCTGCTGAATTAGCTAGATTTAGTATATTTTTATTCAGAATATGAATAATGTTTTAGTTTTGGATTAGTAGTTGGATTTTTACATTAATATTTAGTAAAGATACTGTAGGTTAAAATCTCGCCAATGTTTCCAGTTGAAACCTAAAGTGGTTTTAAGATCTTAAAATGTATGGAAAGAGTCTTAAAAAAGGTCTTAAAAATGTTTGAATTTCACTCTCTGATTCCTGTATACACTCTGATTTAGAGTATATAGAATATATTAAGTAAATAGAATGACTACAGTTTTCTAGTTTATTCTGTAGGGGGTGCACTTGATGTTTGTATTCATTGTGTGTTATCAGACATGCTCACACGCACTGACGGATCAAACTTGTTGCTTCCGAATTGTGTGAAAACCTCAGCTGTGGAGTTAAATATAGCCACAACTGCCCCCAAATTTGTTCACTTTCTTAGCTTGAAGAGTTCACAGCTATGCAAATACTAACTTCTACTAATTACAGAATTATAAAAGCACAATATTGTAAAAACTATACACCACCTCTGAAATAAGATCCTGACATGACTAATAGTAACAAAGAAAAAAAATGAGGCTGCATCATAATCAGACCAGATATATGATTGCTGAGCATTGCTCTTCATGTTTAGTAGTATTTACTACAATATAATTCACTATTAGCATGGTCAGGTATGTTTGCAAAGATGTAATATGGAAGAATGAAATGTATAGTGCGACATTATAAAATAATAAGTTTATAAAAGTAACAATCTTCAGCAAAGATGCATACAGTAGAAATATTTAGATACAATATGCATCCTGTGACTAAACATGCACATTTTGAAATGCATCCTGTGAGGGGGATTGTCTTTAAAAAGCTGTTTCCTCTATGTTTCGAAATGTATCCAGATTAGTATGTGTGCTAATGAGTGTGTTGATAACCTGAGAACTGACCGACTGTGAGTCACTGTAATGTAGCCTGTGTGTGTCATTGGAGATTGTTTTGACTTCGGTCACTGAGATGTGTGTGTTGTATGTGTGTTTGTAGGTCAGTCGAATACTCTACAGCTTTGCCACAGCATTCCGCAGATCAGCCAATAAAGCGCCACTCGCGACCAAGGCTCCGCCCCTCACACCAGACAGCGACGTCTTCACCTTTACCGTCAGCCTGGAGATCAAAGAGGATGACGGGAAGGGCACGTTCAGGTGAACCGCTCTGCATCTCTCCCTTCATCCAAAGTTCATTCAGGTCTAACCTCCGCCGGGTCTCGTCTCTAACTGCATTATTAAATTAAGGGATATTTTCTGGTATCCAGCTTTCGGAAGTCATCTGCCCTGTTTTGATGAAGGATATGGTAAAAATAGAAAAATCCTGCAGTTCCTCCACTTCTCCTCCTCCTCTGAAGTGTCGACACATGTTTCCTGCCATTTATCAGATCTTAGATCTTCCTCTGCCCTACACGTGCTGCTATTAGCACAAATTTGCACTGTAAATCAGTGGAACACGTTTTACTTTGTTGACTTGTTCACATCTGTAAAGTAGTATTCTTTAGTGTAACATGCATTAGCACATTAATATAGTTTCTATAAGTAAGCATTGTAGTTCAATAAAAAAAAATTTGTGAGCACATTTAGAGTCTGACTTTATAAATGTTCACAGAAAAGAAAATAAAAACTGACAAAAGCATTTAAGAAAAAGGCTAAAGTGCCTAAAATAACTCGACTATCTTGATTAATATGAGCTTGATGCTCCAGAGACACTGTTATAAATGGACTGTAAATCACTTTGGATGCAATAAACAGGAAAAGAATGACAAAATCAAGGTCTGTACTAAATACAATAACTGTATTAATGAAATCAGCAAAATTTTATGGTATGTTTAAAGTAGGTAAAAGGTGTATGTATGTATGTATAATGTATGTATAATATATATATATATATATATATATATATATATATATATATATATATATATATATATATATATATATATATATATATATATATATATATATATATATATATATATATATATATATATATATATACACACACACACACATACATACCTTTTAACTACTTTAAACATACCATAAATTTTTGCTTATTTAATTAATACAGTTATACAATATATATATATAAACAAACACATAAAATAGTACAGTTTTGTTTAATGTTTTAAAAATTTATTCTCCTCATAAAGGCTGCTTTTACTTCATTTTAAATCAGGGTTGTCAAACTCAGTTTCTGGAGGGCAGCAGCCCTGCACAGTTTAGTTCCAACCCTGCTTTAACACGCTCACCTGGAGGTTTAAAACAAGCCTGAAGGCCTCAATTAGTTTGATCAGGTGTGTTTAAATAGGGTTAAAGCTAAACTGTGCAGGGCTGCGGCCCTCCAGCAATTGAGTTTGACACACCGAATAGTCAATAAATCTTTTCATTCTGAAGAGAAATCTGGCCATGTGTTTAACCAAGCATGCATTTGTGTCTACCAGTGCCGTATCAAAAGACAAGGACAGACAGAGCTTCAAACTGCGGGCCGGCATGGACAAAAAAATTGTGATCTACGTCCAGCAAACGTCCAACAAAGAGCTGGCCATCGAGAGGTAACATGCTTTTTCTAGTGACACTGAAAGGACATTACAAACTATAACTCATTTATTAATGGTAAACATGCGCTGAATTATGTTTTTCTGGGCTCAAGTGTTCATGAGAAAATGGAGGATGGTTTTCCTCTATGGTGACTGATGTTGTTTTGAACTGAAGCCAACCCTGCCTGAATGAACAGCTGTTCTTTTCTGTGTATATATATATTTATATATATATATAGATGTGTGTTCGTTTTCCCAGGCTTCCCCTCTGCTGTAAAAGGCTGCATGGATATGCGCTTTTACAGAGAAAATGTTTGTGTTGATGAACATGTTTGTGTTTTAGGTGTTTTGGTCTGCTTTTGAGTCCGGGGAAGAACGTGAAGAACAGTGATATGCACCTGCTCGACCTGGTATGTGGTGTAAAAACAACACATTTTCTTTCAAATAAATTACAATGTCTTTTTATATGTGCTGTAAAACACATCATATTTTATGAGAAATAAATTACAGGATCATTTTATGTGGTATAAAACATGATATTTTATGAAAATAAATCACAGCATCATTTTATGTGTTAGAATTGCATTGTTGCGAAAGAAAAAACACAGCCACCCTGGTGTTTTAGAATTTATAATGGAATTTAAAAATAGGACATTTTAAATGGTATATATAAATCCAGGCAAAATTATTGGCCCTTCTGTAAAATTGTAATTATTTTTCAGATATTTCTCAAGGACTGTTAAACGGAGAGATTCTTTAAACAAATTTTTAAACAAAACAGTTTTAATATTCCATTTTAATAGTTTTTTTTATATTAAAAAAATTAGCGACACCAAAGCTCTATAAAATGCCGATGTATTACATTAAAAAAGCTAACACAAAGGGCCCTATCATACACCCGGCGTAGTGTGGCGCAAGGCGTGGCGCAGTAGTCTTTTGGTAGTTTCAGCTTGGCGCAAGAGTCGTTTTGAGGCGTTGTGCTACGCTGTTTAAATAGCAAATGCATTAGCGCTCATTTTTGCGCCCATAGGCGTTATGGTCTAAAAAGGAAGGCGTTCTTAGGCGGACCGCTTGCGCATCGCTATTTTGAGAATCTATAATAGATTTTTCATTAGACCAAAACATACCCGGTCTAAACTCCGGCGCAGAGTTGCGCCTCGCTTATGCACTGCTTAATACGCACAAGAGTGCAATAGGCAAATATCTTTAAATGTGAAAAAAATGTAATATTAAGGATATAAATAGGATATAATAAGAATAGATATAGGATATAAATATAAAGGATTAAAATATTACAAAACATATTATTTTCTAGCCTACATAAATATAAAAAAACCACTGCTTTTATGTCTTCTTCATCTCGGGAGGCTTTTTCAGTTCATTCATAACAATTTGCTTTTGTATAATGTTATTATTATTAGCAGTATTATTTATTATATCCATATTTATATTTGTTTTATTAAAAACAAGCTTAGATTTGCCCACCTGTCAGGTTTTACACCATATGGGGCACAGCATTGTTATTTAGGATATAACTTTTTGAGCACATTCTGCTATTATTATTCATTTATTCGTTTGCTGGAAATTAGAACTGAATTTAGAAATAGTTTTGAAACGAATATTTGCGCTTAACAAACAAAAGTATTTATTTATAGACTAATTGATGTCTGTGCGTAAAGGTTTCCCTATCCAAGAGCGAAAGTGAAAGTGATCCATTATCTCTCATTCTCACGCTGTAGATGCTCTGTTTAACAGTTTTCTGTTAAAAAGCTGTTAACTGTTTGCTTGTGAAATGCTAATTTTTTCCACTTAGACTTACTTTGCGTCCTGTAAATAGCGAATGCGCTCTTGGCGCGACGCAGCTGACTCTTAAAGGGAATAAGATTCTAATTGGTTTATTCTCAAAACACACCTATAACTCATTAAGAAAATAAGCTCAACCCTTTTAGACCATTCGCCGCGGCGCAAGGCAGATTTCCTGTCCTTAAATTAGCAAAAACGCGTCCTGACACGCCCTGAAAGTAATTGCGCCCTGCGTTTTGCGCTCTGCGCATGGACCGTCAAAATAGAGCCCAAAGTGTGTAACGTTTCGAGCACATCAGCTCTTCATCAGACTGTATTCATCGCAGCATGTTGCTCTTTTTATACACTTCTGGAACTTAAAAAAATAAATAAAAAAAATACACATTGGTAGGTTACACAACTTACATATTAAAAACGAAAATACAAAAAAAACAATTTAAATAATAATAATAAAAATCCCAAATAAAGAAAAACATAAAAGAATTTAACAAAGACATGCAACAAAATGTAGCCAAAAAACCTTTACTCAAACAACTACTTGGACGTACATAAAGCTCTTCAGAGACCTCTTGGAGTCAACGTACAATGATTCTGGAAAGATGCATCAAGCAGATTCTGGCCAAGTCTGCCCACGGTTGGTTAATTCACCACGAGTGAACTGAAGTGGTGATTCAGTTTGACTTTCTGCTTGTTTTATTCTCTCCTCTCCTTGCCTCCCCCTGTCTGTCAGGAGTCAATGGGCAAAAGCTCTGATGGGAAATCTTACATCATCACAGGGAGCTGGAATCCCAACACTCCTCAGTTTCAAGCTGTGAATGAGGAGACGCCCAAAGGTACAGATACACACACACTCGTGCACACACACCGTTTACATGACCTTCTCTTTCAGATTGTTGTTTGAGGTCTTCTGATTCTGCTTCTGGAATATATTTATTTAGGTCATTCACTTTTTTGCGATCTGTAACATTATTACAATTGATATTAAATGGCAAATTAATAATAATAAATAGGAGTAATGGTTGAAGACTAAATAATTAGGCCTCTTATGAAATTAAAATTCTTTTTCAAATATTTCAAGTGATGTTTAACAGAGCAAGGCAAAAGGTCACTCTATTTCCTATTATATTTTACTTCTAAAACTTTAATTATAAATAAACCTTTAAGGTCAATATTATTAGCCCCTTAAGAAATATATATATTTTTCTGTTTGGCTACAGAAAAAAAAACATTGATGTCCAATGACTTGCCTAATTAACCTACCTTGCCTAGGTAAGCCTTTAAATTGCACTTTAGTTTGAATCCTAACATCATGCAAAATGACTAGTTAAATACAATGTACAGTCATCATGGCAAAGAGAAACAAACGACTCATTAGACATCAGTTATTAATGGGTATCGAAACATTAAAACAGATTTTTTTAGATGATTTTTGAGTCATATACTGCACATGTCCCATATAAATTTCAGCGTGGAGATTGGCTGTCTGATTGGCTATTACAAAGTGACGTCGTTAAGTTTTCAGCACATCTGTTCAGTAATTCAACAGCGCGCCTTGTTTTGAATGAGATGCAACTTCATTAATATGCATGATATAGCTTCAAAGACTCCTTTTACCTATGACAGTGTTCAGAGAGATGCCACGTTGTGTTGCCCACCGTAATTCAAACAAGCAGTAGAAGAAGAATTGTTCAGAGACATGGGTCGTCAGTGTTGCGTTTATAAATGTTAATAAATGTTTATAAACAAAGGTTTTGTTTCCCTTTCCCCGCGATGCGAGCACAGCTTATGTGTGGACCTTACAGCATTCTGCTAACACGTGACAAAAATATGTTTGTAAGGAACATTTTTTTTTTTTTTTACCTGAGAGCTTTTCCTATCTGGAAATTGTGAAATCAGGATTTCCCATTCGTTTTCTTTTTTAAAAAAGTTCCTGTTGGTGTTGATTGTCCTGTCTCTTCGAGTTTGGTAAGTGTGTGATCAATGTTCTTTGTTCGTTTATTCAGATAGCAAAGTTAGTTTGTGTCGTCAGCAGTACTCTTTCAGTGTTTAAAGGGCCATGACACCCCCCACTTTCGGTTTAAGTCTACTTCAGAATTTTTTCAAAAGATGCATGATTAATGGGCGTGGAGCTCCGTGAGCATCGGGCAGGAGTGGGCGTGGCCAGCAGGGGAGAAGGGGAGCGAACAACTGTTGATGTCAGTTAGCTCACAAAATGAGACAACCCGTGAGGAAACGCATGAGTTTATAGTTTACAATATTAAAATGCAAAGAAATAAACAGTAATTTAATGCCCTGCTACATTTTTTATTTGTAATTTCATATACAGACAACCACAATTTATATCATTATAAAGATAATCGTGTTCATATAAACACTATAAATGAGGACTTCTCCCTCAATCCCCGGGTCTGAATCATAGATCTAAATACAGACTCAGTGGAGCAGGTCTCCTGACCTGTCTATTTTAACCATTAGTCCTGCTGGTAATCGGAGGATTTAGGCAAACACAGCAGCACGGCGATGTGTCTGAATGTGAATGAACTTCTGATACAAGACAACATCCGCCATTCTCCAATTCTCGTGCTGCTCTCCCGACAAAAATGCTTGTATCACACACACAGCTTTGCTTTATGATCGGCCCTGACAGGATCGTGGGGAAAAAACATGCAACATACCCCGTGGATCATGGGAACAAACACATACGAGCCTTCATAAACGGCTACTGCGCGTCTGCATCTGCCTTGCCTTCGGAAAGCAGGTGCTATCGTGCTCTCATGAATAATTAAGCAGCCGGCTGTTCTCATAGGATAAGGAAACTCCGCTTTGAATAATAATTAGAAACCGACGCGTCATCATTGCACTTGCGGTACTTTGCTACGTCGCCGATTTTAATCCCTCCCCAAAAATCATTTTAAACCCGGAAGCTGAAATTAGCAGACAAAAGCTCAAAATTATCCAGTTTTCCCCACAATTAAAGCTGACAGATGCTAACATTGTCTTAACTGATGCTCAACACAAACAAATCTGTTAATATATAAAAAAAGTTCTCCAGGGTGTCCTGAACCTTTAAAGACATACCTTAGTCAAAATGATTTTGTAACTAAGTTTACAGTACGTTAATATCACTACAACATTATGAACTGAAAATCCTCCACTTCCACACAGCTTGCAGATCCTCTGTAGGGACTGCTCTCCGAATTAATGTCTATCTCCCCTGGTTCTGTGAAAATCAGCTGTAGTGCACGTAATGAGACTCCCCTTTTCATGCAAACTCCTCCCTCTTTCACCACTTGACAGTCCCACCTAAACAAAGCTGGACTCACCCACTTTTTCTAATTTATTTTTTAAACTAGAGATGTGAAAACACCCTGCTAAAACTGGGGGGATTTCAAGGTTATGTTTAAAAATATGACCATTTTTCAATTTATTTAAAAAATATTACAGTAGACCTAATAATTTTGTCTTCAACTATACTTTTGTTGTTGACATAATACTACTAATAATGATAAATGACAATATTTATTTAGTTTACTAAGAATTTTTAATAATGGGTTTAATAAAATGTTTGTTATTTTATGACATCACTAACAAGAGTATTAATAAGGTCAATATCACACAAATATGACACATGACATTATGCATTAAGCATTACTAATATGCACATCTGCTTTTCTGTGATTTGTGTCACACAGATAAGTTCATGTACATGACAACGGCGGTTGACTTGGTGATCACTGAGGTCGAGGAGCCTGTGAGGTTCCTGCTAGAGACACGGGTTCGAGTGTGTTCACCCAACGAGAGGCTGTTCTGGCCCTTCAGCAAACGCAGTTACACAGAGACCTTCTATCTCAAACTCAGACAGGTGAGTTCAGGACTCTAACAGACTGATTTGATACTATACTTAGAAAGACAAAAAAAACTATGTAAACAATGCAGCCAAAAATCAACCTTTTCACTTTTAAAGGGTTCATTGTACTGAGGTCCACATATAATGTTTTCATAAGTGTAACTGTATTATGACTCATAATAAGTATTTATAGGGGCTCCTATCCACAATTAAAAAATATTTACTTTTTTGACAGAACAAAACTTGTTCTTACTACTAATGAGTTTTTGTAACTTTAAGAAAACACCGTTTTAACATTGCAGACTAAGGGCTCTATTTTGACGGTTCATGCGCAGAGCGCAAAACACAGGGCGCAAACGCTTTCAGGGCGTGTCAGAACGCATTTTTGCTAATTTACGGACGGGAAAATGCGCTTTGCGCCAAGGCACATGGGCTAGAAGGGTTGAGTTTATTTTCTTAATGGGAATAATTTTTCTTTGGGAATAAACCAATTAGAGTCTCATCTTCCATTCCCTTTAAGACCCAGCTGCGTCGCGCCAAGAGCGCATTCACTATTTACAGGACGCAAAGTAAGTCTAAGTTGGAAAAACTGAGCATTTCATCAGCAAACAGTTAACAGTTGACAGTTTTTTTAACAGAAAACTGTTAAATAGAGCATCTACTGCGTGAGAATGAGAGATAATGGAACTATTTTCACATTCGCTCTTGGATAGGGAAACCTTTACGCACAGACATCAATTAGTCTATAAATAATTAATTTCGTTTGTTAAGCGCAAAGATTTGTTTCAAAACTATTTCTAAATTCAGTTCTAATTTCTAGCAAACTAATAAATGAACAATAATGACCAGTTGTGGTCAAAATACTGAGTTATTTCCAAATACACCTGCCATGCCCGATATGGTCTAAAACCAGGTGGGCAAATCTAAGCTTGTTTTTAATAAAACAAATATAAATATGGATATATTAAATAATACTGCTAATAATAATAACATTATACAAAAGCAAAGTGTTATGAATGAACTGAAAAAGCCTCCCGAGATGAAGAAGACATAAAAGCAGTGGTTTTTCATATTTATGTAGGCTAGAAAATAATATGTTTTGTAATATTTTAATCCTTTATATTTATATCCTATATCTATTCTTATTATATCCTATATATATTCTTAATATTTACATTTTTTCATGTAAAGATATTTGCCTATTGCTCTCTTGTGAGTATTAAGCAGTGCGTAAGCGAGGCGCAACTCTGCGCCGGAGTTTAGACCGGGTTAGTTTTGGTCTAATTAAAAATCTATTATAGTTTCTCAAAATAGCAACGCGCCAGCGGTCCGCCTCAGAACGCCTTCCTTTTTAGACCAGAACGCCTATGGGTGCACATATGAGCGCTAATGCATTTGCTATTTAAACAGCGCAGCGCAACGCCTCAAAAAGACTCTTGTGCCAAGCTGAAACAGGTGTATGATAGGGCCCTAAATCTTCATAAATACAATTATTACTGACTTATTAATACATATAAAGCTGTGTATAGTGTTATAAACGTGTATATTGAAAAAAGAAATGCATCACTAATTATTATCAATTAGTATTAATAACACTATTATACATGTAGCACAGTCATTATAATACTTAATAGATTTGGTTGTATCTTAAGAATAATATCTATAAATTTTATATTTGATTCTAAATAATTAAAAACAGTTATAATACATTATGAGCATGGGATTAATACAAAGCGTTACCAAGATTTTTTACATTCACAAAAAACATAATGGGTGATTTTCTGTTTTGTTTTGGCCCCCTCATCAGAAAACACTATCAATTGCTTTGGCAGATTGTCCAATCAAGTGAATATGATTGCATCTTTAAATATGTTCAAAAGAACCAACTGTGTGCTCACTAAACCTCTCTATACAGTATGTATTTGTATAGTTTATTCTACATCCTTCAGATGGACACTGCTGTGATTTAGGTTAAAACATATATTTTTTAGTACCTATGAAATAATCTGTAAGCAATAGTCAACAGATATTAAAAGTTCAGTTGCCCGACATTACTATCATATCAGATATATCAAATAAAATATAAAAAAACTGTCATCTTACAGTCAAAATCTCTAATCCCTCATCACCTGATCCCAATCCTGCATAAAATTTTTGCTTTGTTTGTTAATGAATATACAGCTAATTGAATTGGACAAAAGTGAAGGTGAAACACTGTTCTTTATTGCAGTATAAATGGGTGGGTGAAGTGAGCATTGATTGTTCATGGATTATTCATATTATTACATAATAAAGTGGCAGATTATAATAATAATAATAATAAACTTTATTTGTATAGCACTTTTCCAACATACATGCAACTTAAAGTGCCTCACAAACAACAACAAAAGCATTAAAATAGACCACAAAAACTTATCACATATACTGAAATAAAAGCATTCATGTACACAAAATATAAGTATATATCCACATGATCACACACACAATAGTCCTTACGTATGCAAGCACACACCATACATTACATACATAAACCTACAACAAAATAGATAAAATGCGTACACCTAAAAAACTTGTCTTAACACGCTTTTTAAAAACATGAATACTTGGGGATTCCTTCACTTCAAGGGGGAGACAGTTCCAAATTTTTGGAGCATAATGGCTAAAAGAAGTGCCGCCAGATTGCATCAGGTTTACAGGATAAAATTCTAAAAGTCCAGCACTAGAAGAGTGTAGCAAACGGTTTGGATTATATTTTGTTAAACAGTCGGAAATGTAGGAAGGTGTCATGTTGTGTAGTGCTTTATAAACTAATAAAAGATTGTATTCAAAAAGAGCTGTTTTTAGACTTCTGATTATGTTTTGAGTTACCATACGTACAGGATGTTTTAATAGTGCAAAGACCTTAAAGATTGGTTTTATGTTTCTCAGTCTATGACCTCAAAATGAACAGTTTGACACAGCCTTCACATTAATAGGACGCTCTATTAAATCCTGCATCTCACAGATTGTTTTCTTTAAAAGAAAGGGGTGTGTGTTTATGTGACTGGCTTTACTGTGAACTCAGATGGAGAACAAGGAGAGGAAGAGTAACTCGGATACGCTGTATGAAGTGATGAGTTTAGAGAGCGAGACAGAAAGAGAAAGAAGGAAGACCACAGCGAGCCCCGGCGTACTGTCTTCTGGGTCCCATGGCTCCACGGTGCCATCTCCACCTGAGGATGATGAGGAAGAAGGTGAGCGGCCCTAAACTGTCAACACTTTTACATTTAGTCATTTAGCAGACGCTTTTGTCCAAAGTGACTTACAAATGAGGAGGCATTCAGCCATTCAACAAGAAGAGGCAATACACACAAGAAGTGCTAATTATAGAAAGCAAATGTTTCTGCTTATAGAAATAAGTTTGTATACTGTAAAGTAAGGAAGGGGGGTGTTTTGTAAACCAGTCGACACTTGTAAACACTCGCTCCAATGGACCAATCACAGAGCTTGCGCTACGCATCATTACATAGCTAATTTTTTTGAGAAGTGCACGTCAGTGACACCGACGGCCACGGCGAGGGGTACGCGTAGGCTGCGCCGTAGCATACACATGCGCTTGACGCAGAAGTATAAATCAGCCTTAAGTGTATTGTCATCACAAACTGAACAACTTTTTTTTTCGACAATTTTTAACAGTTTCGAAATTATTGAGATAAATCTGCAAACTAACAAATCGCACCTGTTATGAGTACAACCAAATGTGCGTCAAAAATTGCACATTATATGGAATGTGAGCCAAGTAGTAGGTCCATTTATACTACTCACATTTATACTATATAGAATGTAGTACTTTTCTAAATGTAGAACCAGGGTGTCTGTGGGTTTGTAAAAGGTAGTAAATGAAATTAGCCAAAATCAAGGCCATTAAAAAGTATTAAAAGTCATCTGACGAGGTATAAAAATTTCGAGCCCAGTTTTTTAGATAAATTTTCAATTTGTGTCAAGTGCAGGCCTTTATTCAAAATTTTGGTGGGATTTATTTATATGTTGAGAGTAGGACCTGAGCGCTCTCATGTGAAGTGAAGTTTGCACGTGCTGAATCAAACCGGTTGGTAAGCGGCTAGCTTGCTACCAACCATTTAGGCGAGCTCGCCTTTGATTTAGTAATTAAATTAAAACATGGTTAAATGCAACTTTTCGGATCTCAGGCTGGAGGAAGCAAGATTTAAAGACTGGCCTATGCTTTCCGCTGCCAGATGACTAGGAGTTTGTGTGGGGAATGCGGGAAATGCAAACAAAGGAAGAGTGAAAAGTACCGATGACATCGATTATGTGGTCAATGATGATCCGCCAGCCGAGATCAATTGAGTGTTTCGTGTTCAGCGCAAATGTCCTCTATAAATGTAAAATCTAACACTGCACACATCATCGCCAAAGAAGCTCGCCTTTACTGAGTTTACACTGAAACTGAGGCTCATACCAAAGAGCTGTACTGTGCCGGTGGTCATCGCGAGAATCCTGCTCTGCCCTGGTCGGCTGACTCGCCTGCTTTTTTCCCACAAACACAGAAAACTGTAAATCAGCGCAGAATGAGACTGAGCATTTAAAATGACACAAACCCAAACCAAAACCTTTAAAGAATGATAGAACTAAGACTTTTCTTCCTTTTGTCCATTCTTTCTTGAGATGTATATTGTTTTTCTGTTTAGTTACGGATGACTGCTTTGCAGCTTTCAGCCTTGAATTGAATGATTTATTATAATCTTTTGATTGTTTTGTAGCAGAAATATTATTTATTAAGTTAACATGCATATAAAAACAATAGTACAAAATAAACACTTCTTACTGCAGTGCTTCATTTTTGTTTGATGCAAACCATAGTTTTATTTTTCATAAAGTAATAGTCAGATTTTTTATAGCAGATAACTCGCATTCAAGCACATTCAAACATATTCAAGGCAGCATGATAATGGGAAATGTATGTTATCTTCAATATGTTATTCCATTTGAAAATAAATTAGATTTATGCCACTACAGTTGCAGCTCTAAGTCGTGCTGGTAGTAATTTTTTTTTGAAGGTATTAAAAAAGGTAGTAAAAGGTATTAAATTCAACTCAAGAATCTCTATATATTTCCTGAGTACCTACTTGAATAGTAGATGATTTCAGGTGCAGTCATTTGCTACTAAATTGTTTCCATTAATGAATTTTGCTTTCACAATCCAAAATCTATAAAGTCATCCGACCTCAGCGGTGATAGCTGTTCCCCTTTCTGCTACGTCAGCAAAGCTGCAACTGTTCAGTTCGTGAGGTGTCCAATAATCCACAATTCTTTTAATCGGTTAAATAAGTAAACAGTTCGGATATTTAAAGTGCACTTATTTATTTTATAACTTTCAGTGTGAATGCACTACTTACACTATTTATACTACAAAATGGCATAGAAAAGTACATAAGTATGAAATCTGTTTCATACTTACATTTGTATTTAATCAAAAGGTTTCTATTAAGTTGTTAATGTTGCTGATGGTAATAGAGGTAACCAGCACTAAATAAAAGCAACTAGCAGTAAATTAAATCAGAATTTATTTGCCAACTGTGATTTGATTTTACATATGCATTAGCTGTTTTTCACAGCTGAGCAAAAAACTGAGGTCGTTTTTTTGTGCAGTTTTAAGCTTTTCTTTCTGAATTTCGGAATTTTATCATCACTCATTTCTGATGCAGCACTTCAAAGTTTGCGTTTAAGGGATGGTTACCCAAAACATGACATGGCAAAACATATTATTATGATTTAACCATCCCTCCTTGTTCTAAACTTGTTTGAGTTTCTTTCTTCTGTTGAACACAAGAGAAGATATTTTGAAAAAAGCTGAAAACCTGTAACCTTCCATACTATTTATTTTTCCTGCTATGGAAGTCAGCAGTTATAGGTTTTTAGCTTTCTTCAGATTATCATCTTTAATGTTTAACAGAATAAAGAACTTGTAAAGTTTTCAAACTACTTACAAGTGTGAAAAAAATCAATTTACATTTTTGGGTGAGCTATCTTTTTAATACAGGGTGATGGAAACATAGCTACTCTGAGTTGTTCTTCTCTGTCCTCTAGGACTTCATGTGTTTTAATACAGTTTTGAGTTATGCAGAGTTATTTTATTAACAGTATCTCAAACGTAAGTAACATCGTTCTCGCTCTTTTTTTTCCCCACTGTGTTCGTCTTCCCAGATAACGACGAGCCATTATTAAGTGGCTCTGGAGACGTCTCTAAAGAATGTGCCGAAAAGATTCTGGAAACTTGGGGAGAACTGCTGTCGAGATGGTGAGTGCTTGGAAAACAAGTGGAAATGAAGGCCAGATTTATAATTTCATCATAAAGCTACTATAGAATCAATGTTCCTGAACTAGGCATCTGCTGTTTTCTAAGGGTAAACTTATTTGATAAAAAGCAGAGTAATCAAATAAATAAATAACTATGTGAATTATTACAATTTAAAATCTATTACAATTGTTGTGTTTTTTTGGAAAATGCAATTTTAGTTTATTTATGACAAAAAAAAAAACTCTTAATATTTTTTTGTTTTTTTTTCCAGTTTAACCTATTATTGGTCAAAAAGATCATTCACCAAGTTTATAAAATATACATTTTAGATGCTGACACACCTCTAGTGTACATTTAAAGGGACAGTTCACCCAAAAATTTAAATTTACTCACCCTTAAGTTGTTCCAAACCTTTATAAGGTTAAGAGTTTGAATAAACGTTTTTATTAAAGTTTTAATAAACATAGTATACACAATAAATTTACTTAGAATGTTTATATTCACAAAAAAAACCCAAATACATAAAAAAATAATAGTTAAATTATAATAGTAAATAAATAATAGTGACAGCATAAAAATACATTAAATTAAAAAAGAAAAGTAGATAAATAAATAACCAACCAACCAACCAAACAAACAAACAAACCAACACCTATATAAAGACAATAACTATAATAAAACACCTGACAGCATTTTAAAGATTAAGTAAATGTTTCGATTAATGCCAAGGTTTGTTGGAAAATTTCTGATTTCAACCGCAAATCTGCAGTCATTTTCTCAAATATATATTTATATACACATGTTGTGTAAATAGGTGAGATTTAGGCCCCGTTTACACTAATACATTGTTGTTTTAAAACGCATTTACTACTAAAAAACTTTACTACGGTTACACACTATGCTTGAGTTTACGAGCGTCAAAAATTAAAGCATTTTGAAAACGCTTAAGATGCTGCTTTCATTTTAAAACGCTGCTGCTCTGTGTGTGGATGGGGAAAGTAGAGACATCTGAAAACGGAGATGGGGCTGCATGTTCGGGGCTTTTTCCTCAATATTAAGTAGTCTGTGCACAGTTCAGTCTTGCATCCTTTCCTTGTAAGTTCAGACTTTGCAAGTTTGATGTGGAAAACAAACTCCTGAGAACGCGTTGGGTAAATCTTAAAAGGTAACAGCGTACTTTATAACTTCATTCACATCAGTCTGGCTACGCTGTCTCAACAATAAAATGAAAACATGACATGAGGAACTGCTGAATTTTATTTTGATATTAGCAACTTAGACACCAAAAATGTTCTACTGCCTCCTTTCATTTTCATTGAAAAATATGAAACATATCCACTCTTTTGCTGAATATCAGTTTTAATAATCAAAAATTGCCTTTATAAAAGTGTAACATACAATAAGTTTATACAATATAGGAAATAAATGCAAGCAATGTGGTGGTTACATAAATGAATATATTAACTTATCTTTACGCTCCGCCAAAGCACATTAGCTAAGAACAATTAATAGATTTAACAGACCAAAGTCTGGGAACATGTTGTTAGATATAGACAACAAGATGAATTATATATCACATTTAACAGATATAGTGAGATTAGATCCAGTGGTAGATCCTTGATGAACAGTCCGTCATGCACAGCTCTTATCTCTGCAGTGCATGCCAGTGTGTGTGTGTGTGTGGTCACGTGATGTGCATTTTCAGTGGTATAGTGTGGACGGAGAGTTGTTCAGAAACTCTGGGAGAAACGCCGCTGTGGATTCGCAACATTTTCATTCTACAATGCCGTTTTAAAACTAAAACATATTAGTGTAATTGGGGCCTTACTGAACAGATTGGGAGGAAGCCATCAAGCAAAAAAAAAAAGGAAATACTGGGTGCATTGATATGTTGTATCTTAAAACTTTACTAATCTCCCTTTTAACCTCCTGCCAATACACTTGTATTTTGGGACATTCTCAAAATATGTGAACGTAGTCCCTCACTTTTCCACAATCTCTTCAGCATTGTGATAATTGTAAAGAACTATCGATTTTGGCAACCACTAATGGAACTCTGAAGAACCCCATCTTCATCTTTTAGTCAAACTTCTTCCATATTTGACTGCTTATACCCTTTTGACAATTTGTGCATATTTGTTTCCCACATTTTATCCTCTATTATAGTGTTAAACTCTAATTTCCAATTTCTTATGATATAATAAGAGTCATCAGATTTATCCTGCATTTTGAAGAAAGTTTAAAGTCTGTAACCACTCTCTTCCATAGTAGGAAAAACAAATACTATAGAAGTTAATGGTTACAAGTTTATATATCTTTTTGTGTCCAAGAGAAGAAAGAAACTTATGAAGGTTTGAAACAAGTAAGAAGTGAGTAAACAATGACAGAAATGTCATTTTTGGGTGAATTATCGAAAAAAAAAAGACTTGATTGATAATTGACAATTATTAAATAGCCATGAGTTGGAAGCAAAAGCTTGCACAGACTCCTGCAGAGATTAATTGTTGCACATTAGCATATGCAGATTTAGATTAGAGGTTGTCTTGTCCGCCTCTTTGCTCCTGACAGTGTTGAATGGCTGAAGTCTGCCTTCCATGCAGGAAAGCGCTATTAAAATGCTGAAAATCAAGAGCTTCCCATCCCACACATTCTTTTTTTCTGTCTCTAACCAAAAAATGTCCCCACACACACGCACACCATTTCTAATTTAAGAAGTCATTCATGGGAGGGAAATGAGCAAGATATTTTAATGTGGAGCTCTAGAAGAGAGACTGGGGGATGGAGGAATGGTCAAATACAGATAAGGGTCTTATTAAGATTATTTCCCCCTCCCATTACTCTTATTGTTGTTAATCAAAACCTCGAGATGAATTCAATTAAAAATGGCAGGAATTTAATTACGGGCTCACGACTGTCTCTGCGCTGAAGAACACAGCTGTGTCTTTGTGCGTGTTGTGCTCACATCTGCATCTAGTCACTAGTTCAGATCCTTTTTAAGCCATTGGCTCTTGTTTGGATGTTTTAGAGACTTACAGTCATTCTGTTGTTAAATTAAGTGACTTGATGTTCTTTGTGTTTTGACCACGCTTGATTTAACGACAAACTATTTTCAGACCATTTTAACAAACCGTTTTTTGTTAAAGTTTTGGTGGTTTGTTGTTTTTGCTATGTTAATGTTCTTCTTTGAAATTGTGCAAGTAATTGTCAAAATAAATGGTGGGATTCATTGCACAGATTAATGTTGAAAACACAAAAGTTTTAAAACTGGAGTTGACAGAAATATTTTACAATTTTTAATTAACTTCCCTCACAAAAGGAGTCTTCAAATTCTTGACATTTAATTCTTTATACAGTACAGCATGGTTTGGTATTGGGTCATCTTGATTAGGCTTGCATTTCCACTGCCAATATTACCCTTTTTGTAAGTGGTGCACAGCAAAATGTTGTGATTCATTCTCATTTAAAGAAATTTAAAAGCAAAAGTAAAAGTAAAACCGGACCCAAGCTCATTCTGAAAACGTAGTCCCGTGGACATTTCTGGAGACAGCGGAATACGTCCCGGGGGGTACGTATGGCCGCGTTTATTTTTTTCAAGTGAACGCTGCGGGGCGCTGTGACACTGTTCCCTTTCGCGCTTGCCTTACCTCTTTCTGGAGGGCTTCCCCGCTGCAACCCGTTGTCCACTCAGCTCACCGTGTACGTTGGCAGGCTCGAGATGCAGAGAGGGGTCGACCACAGCGACCGGTTTCGAGTCCGGGGAAGAGCAGCTCCAGCAATCAGGTAAGACAAAAACAGAATCCCAAAAATCAAGTAAACGAGTTTCGTGACAGTGTGAGAACGCGGCGAAATCCGACAACGCGGTGGAATAAAAAAAATCAGGGCTTTTGTTATTTGGACGGCTTTTGTGAAGTGTTGCTCGGGTTTAGGGAAGCGAGCGGGTGGGCGGGCGGGTCGATCGGTAAAATTAGTTGGGTTCAGGGAAGGAGGAGGGTGGGTTGGCCGATTGGCCGGTCGCGCAGTCAATCATCCGGTCAGTCGCATGCGTGGGCGCGAACCGCGCTCGCGAGAGGGGTCTGAGTTGCGAAAAAGCGCGGTTTGCGGATTCGCGAAAACAAAAACTGCAGCCGTACGTACCCGCTGGGACGTATTCCGCAGTCTCCAGAAACGTCTGCGGGACTACGTTTCCACAATGAGCCTGGGTTGCACATATCACATGAGAAGCGCTTGTCACACTTTTAGCCAAAAGGATGCTTTATATAAAACCCCAAATCAGAAAAAGTTAAGACAGTTTGGAAAACGCAAATAACAAAAGAAAGAAGAGATTTCTAAATTCATGTTGAGTAGTATTTTATTGCAGACGATACAACAGTACATTATTTAATGTGTTGCTCGTGATTTTTAAAAAACATTTTTTTTTAATTTAACACATTCCAGTTTTGGTTCTAGCTACACTTTTCAAAAAACTGTTGTAACAGTAAAGCATTTACCACTTTGTAATGTTGTCATTCTTTTTCACAACATTTAAAAGGCGTTTAGGGTGTAAAGACACCAAATGATGTAGTATATCAGGTGTAATTTTGTCCCATTTTTCCTGCAAACAAGTCATAAGATGGAGTCTTCATTGTCACATTTTGTGCTTAAAAATGTGCCACACATTCTCTATTGGAGACAGGTCAGAACTGTAGGCAGGCTAGTCAAGTACCTGTATCCTCTTCCTCTACAGACAGGACTTTGTTATGTGTGCAGAATGTGGGTTTGCATTGTCTTGCTGAAATATGCAAGGGCGTCCCAGGAAAAGAAGGCAGCATATTGTGCTCCAAAATCTCGATGTACTTTTCAGCATTAATGGCGTCATCACAGAAGTGCAAGCTACCTTTGCCAAGACCACTGACACAACCCCATACCATGACAGACCCTGGCTTTTCGACTTAACAGTCTAGATGATCCTTTTTCTTCTTTGTTCCAGAGCACATGTCGTCTGTAGAGTGGAGGAACTATGA